CTCATAGCGGCCCTGTATAGGGTTTCCAAGGAGCAGCTGGTGGGTTTGAACTGCTGGCCTTGTAGTTAGCAGTCCAGTCTGATCCTACAGCATCACACCATGCCTTCAAAAAGAAAAAGTCCAGTCAAAACAGTGGCTCCTGAGTGGATCTGCTGAGCCAGACAATTTCAAGATTATTGGGACTGCTCAAGATTATTGGGACTGATTTTTTGAATTACAAAGGAGTAATCTTGATAGGCTTTCTTAAAGGACACTGATCATGGAGGCTTATTCTGAAGAAGTTTTAAGAAAACCGAAAACTGCATTAATGAGAAAAAGGCCAGTAAAGTAGCACCAAGCAATTTTTTTCTAAAACAACAATGCATCCACTTGTTCTTCAAGAGTAGTACAGGATGTCCTACAAGAATTTAATTGGAAAGCCTTATTCTATGCATACTACAGCCCTCATCTTTAACCTTCAGACTTTTTTGTGCCCCCAAATTCAAAGGAACATGATCTGAGCCCCTCAAAGATGCCAAAACTGCTGCTTTTGCGTCACGTAAATCGAAGGGTGCAGAATCCTTGAGGGAAGAGTTACAGGATGGAAACGCCATCTTCAGAAGTTGTACAGAGCTAGATGGAGCATATGTCATGAAACAGTAGCTCCACATTTTAGTATATCTGCTTAGTAAAGGTTTCCATGATCCTAGTGTGGCAATATAGGATAAGAACTGGACTGCTACCTGAAAGATTGGTGGTTCAAACCCTATACATGATAGCTATGAGTCAGAACTGACTTGATGGAACTTAACAACAACAACATGATTTTTGTAGTGATACTTTTTGGTTTACCACTGTCCACATATGATGTAAGGGTAGTGGAGTTGAATATGTTGGTGCTTGGGTGATGATACACGTGAGTAAGCACTCAACTGCTAGCTGGAAAGTTGGTAGTTTGAACCTCCATGGAGGCCCTCTTACAAGGGTCCCGTCCCATATCAGACCACACGCCATCTTAATCATAGGATAATATGAGACAAATATAACTAAAAATTGCTTAACTGTAACATTTCTTAGTTTATATGACTACTGACAACAAAATTGTTTTGTAAAATCTTTCTACATTGAATTACAACACTATTGGTTACAGCAGTCCTGGTAACTGAGCAGAAAAGCCTTTTCTGGGTTTTCTCCTTTTCCTTTAATTACTACGTCATTCTCAAAAAAGTTAATTATACAGATTCACAAGCACTATTGTCACAAGACTATAGCTAAAACATCAGAAATTCTGACAAAATCAGCGGCAGCGAGGAAAACACCATGCATGCTTATAGTGCCTGCAGATGAAACCACATGATTCAAAGCGTCATTGTAACTGGGTAATGCTTACAGCTCTGACCAGGGATCATCAGAAAGTTCAAATGGTAAATGAGCATAGAATTTTAGGCTTGAAGGGAGCTCTGGTAGCATAGTGGTTACGAATCAGGCTGCGAGCCGCAAGGTCGACAGTTCGAAACTACCAGCTGTCCCGCGGGAGAAAGATGAGGTGTTCTGCTCCGTAAAGACTGACAGCCTAGGAAACCCTGTATAGGGCCGCTATGAGTTGGAACCAACTCCACGGCAAACAACAACAGGTATAGTGATACATGTAAGCTGGGCTAATGAAAAATGTTTCTGTTGTCATAACAAACTTTATGAATATTATAACAAATATAATAGATTTCTGATGAAACATTGTACACAAATTTTATAGACAGTCATTTTGATGTCACATCCATCTGACCGTGTCAACCAGTTGGATCGACAACCCCCACATTCCCTTAGGGGCAGCATGGCCCAGAGGAACCTCAAAAGATAGGTGGTATGTGGCAATCTGCTTCTACGAGGTCACAACCTTGAAAACTCTACGGAGCAGTTCTACTCTGCACATATGGGGGTCACCATGAGTCAGAATCAACTCAACAGCTGCCACAAAGAACAGAACCATTCATATCAGGGCTCTGGTGGCTCAAGGGTAGAACCCTCATCTTCCATGCAGCAGCCCGCAGTTAAAGTTCCAGCCAACACACATCATATACAATCACAGCCCATCTGTCAATGGAGACTTGCATGTTGCTATCCTGCTGAACACGTTTCAGTAGAGCTTCTAGACTTAGATAGACTAAGAGGAAAGGTCTGGCTATCTACTTCTGAAAATCAGCTAATGAATGAGGACTGCCAAGGACTAGGCAGTGTTTCATTCCATAGTGCATGAGGTCACCATGAGCCAGAGGCTGATTCTACAACTGTTAATAACATCATCATGTGGGTAATATCTTAAAATACTTTTTCACAGATTCTCTTAAAAGCACTCAAGCCTCAAAAAACCTTGAGTCTTCTTCTTATCCACCCCTATTCCCATTGGCCAGTAACAGATATTTCCTGAAGTTTAAAGTGGATAAGTGACCTATTTAAGATGGTACAGTCAAAAGCTGAACCCCATGATTTTACAGATTTGTTGTCTCTTTTTGCTTTTAAATGTTTTCTCTTTGACTTTAATGTTCTACAGTTTATTTAGTAAGGTGTGTCAAGCTGTGGATTTGATTTTACTTATCCTACTCTAAGCTCAATATACCTCTTCAGCCCCTAAAACTGCATTTTTCTCAAATCAAGTCTGTGCCCAAATCTCCTTATATATTACTTCTCTCCCACTCTTTCATATCTCTTTCTAAAATTTGACTGTTGATGTTGTTGTTATGTGCTGTCGAGTCAGCTCCAACTCATAGTGACCCTGTACAGGGTTTCCAAGGCACAGCTGGTGAGTTTGAACGACCGACCTTGTGAATAGGAGTCCAGTTCTTATTCTACAGCACCATACCAGAATGTGAATGTTGCTGTTGCTGAGTCCCGTCAAATCAGTTACAACTCATAGCCACCCTGTATGGGTTTCCAAGGAGCAGCTCGTGAGTTTGAACTGCCGACCTTGAGATTCAAACCAACCTTGTGGTTCAGTGCGTTATCCCACGACGTCACTCCAGGACCTGCTAAACCTTCTTGGTCTACCCTACAAACACCTTCCATGATTTATTCATATTGCCTATTTTTGTATATCTTTGTACTACATTCTGGTTGACTTCCTGAGATCTGTTTTCCAGAGAACTGATCCTCTCCTCATTTTTATATAACATGCTTGTTCATGCTTTTTAAAACTACCTGCTCTTTTTTCATGAGCACTGGTAGGGTAATGAGTTATAGCACTGAGCTGCTAACCACGAAGTTGGCAGTTTGAATCCACCAACTGTTCCATGGGAGAAAGATGAGACTTCCTGTTCCCATAAAGATTTCCAGTCTCAGAAACTTTCCACAGGGTCACTGTGAGTCGGAACCAACTTGATGGCACACACAGCAGCAGCAGCTCTGTTTTCATATCGTTTTTCTTCCAGTAAGTCCCTGGGTGGCAAATAGTTTAAGTTTGTTCCAGCGGAGTGCTTTAGGATAAGCACTGGACTGCTAACCACAAGGCCGGTGGTTCAAACCCAACAGTTGTTCCTTAGAAACCCTATACAGAATCACTATGAGTCATAAGTGACTAGACAGCATTTAACAACTACAACAACTAACTAAAGGTTGGCAGTTTAAACCTACTCAGAGGCACTGCAGAAGTAAAGATTCTGTAAAGAGTTCAGTCAAGAAAACCCTCGGGAGTAGTTTCTGGTTAATATATGATGTCACTCTATATCAGAACCAACTTGACAGCCACAGATAAGAAGATAAGAAACTATTGTGTAGCAAATAGTTTGGGGTTTTTTTTTGGTTGCTGTTGTTCTTCCATTAGAGTTTCTAAATTCTCTGGAATTTTACACACAATGACTATGAAGTCCAGCCGTATCAGGTTGTTCTATTTAGCTCCTGTTCTTGATTACTAATGGGTTGTTCGTCAAAACTGCAGACTCCGCCTTCCCTTAGTTTTATTGTGAGTCCATCTTAAGTTGTTGTGTTGTTGTTAACTGCTGTTGAATCGGTACTGACCCATAGTGACCCTGTATAGGGTTTCCTAGGAGTAACTGTTGAGTTTGAATCGCCAACCTTGCGATTCACACTGACTTTGCTGTCCAACAAACACACTAACCCATAGTGCTACACCAGGACTCCATTGAATAAATAAGCTAGTCCAATAATGAGATGTTGTATGTAAAGTGCCTGCAACAGGGAGTGGGACAATTGGTTGTTATCTCCCTGCCCCACGGCAGTGAATAAATAGCACTTTTAGACTTAGCTGTGTGGCTCTGGAGAATCCCATCAACTGTCTCTCCAGTTTCGTAATCTTTACAAAAGCGGCTTTTCACAATTCATTTGTGATTATAAATGCTTGCATAGAGCTCAAAACAAATGTTGTTTTTCTTAGATAATATTATTATAAGTATATACAAACTCTGAAATTGATTTGAGTGAGCTCTTAATTACTGGTCTTAGTTTTCTATGATTCTCTGCAGATTCCAGTAACCTTTCTTTCACAACAATGGAGTTATAATCAATCTCCTACTGTGACTAATTTCAGAGTTAAGGAGATTATCAAGCTACAACTAAAATTATACTTAGAACAGAATTCTAAGACAATAGTTAGATATTACACACCATCCAAAACAATACTTTACAAGCTAAACTCTCCTGAAATTTTTATACAGATAAATTACAGCTGTTAATGAAATGCTATAGCCGTTATATTTCAACTCTCACAAAAATATATAAATAAATAGCATATGGCTGATATTTACTGTCTAAAAGTGGCCTTACACAGTTAATTATCAAGATTTTTTTCCCATCAGATAAACTATTGTGTAGCAAAACAGGGTTGAAATTATTCCTTGACTACAAATCCCTCAATGTGTAAAAGAAGAATAATGGGGGGAAATTGTAAAGACTTTTTACAGTGGGTACATTTACATCTGAAAATGTCACATTGAATAAAGTTTTAATGTCATTTGTTTTATAACTAAAAATAATCTCCCTTAGATCACATAATTAAAATAAATATTTCTTACCTCTGAATTTCTTGGGAGGGTTGGCAAGGTCCCCCGCCTCCGGGTGTACCACACATCTATCATCCACCAACCTAGAAGGAAAAGCATGTTTACATTGTCAACAGAGACATTTTCATAAAGCATAGGTTAAATGTGGATATTGTATTTTTAAAATATTAATATACAAACTCTGAAATTGATTTGAGTGAGCTCTTAATTACTGGTCTTAGTTTTCTATGATTCTCTGCAGATTCCAGTAACCTTTCTTTCACAACAATGGAGTTATAATCAATCTCCTACTGTGACTAATTTCAGAGTTAAGGAGATTATCAAGCTACAGCTAAAATTATACTTAGGACATTTCCATAAAGCATAGGCTAAATGTGGATATTGTAGAACTATTCCAAAATTTTAATACCATTCTTAACTTGTTGTTGTTGTTGTTGTTAAGTGCCGTCGAGTCGATTCCGACCCATAGCGACCCTGTATAGGGTTTCCAAGAGTTAAGAAACTCTTAATAATCGTTGATTTGTAGAAAGACTTGGTTATAACAATCTTAACTAGAACAAGGTTTTAAAATTGAAAAATATGAAACATGGTTACATGGTTTCATTACACGAATCATGATATAAACATGGAACACTAGAAGAACTATAAAATTCTAATCAAAAACAAAAGGCATTAACCATGTATTATGAACATAAGTGTTAACCAATCAATAAGGAGTCCTGGTGTGGCGCTGTGGGTTAATACACCAGACTGCAAAGCCATTTGAACTGCAAGGTTGGTGGTTCAAGCTCACCAGCTGCTCTTTGGAAACCCTATACAGGGTCACTATGAGTCGCAACCGACTCGACAGCACTTAACGACAATAACAATCAATAAGATCATATATGTTTAAACACACATCTACACCCCTCTACACATACACATACACTTAGCAACAATTGTTGTTGGTAAGTGCTGTTGAGTCAATTCTGACTCATAGCAGCCCTGTATAGGGTTTCCAAGGAGTAGTTGGTGGTTTTGAACCACCGAACTCACAGTTAGAAATCTAGTGCTTACCCTTACAGCACCAAACTATATACAGTGGTCAAATTACTTACTGGTTTTATTTTCCTCCTTTTTTTCTCTGCATGAGTTTTTTTGTTTTGTATTTTAAGTACAATGTACGTGTAAGTTTATGCCCTCAGGCTTACATAGTGCCCAAAGAGTGGGATACGTGTGAGCCGTCAGTGCGCACTCAAACCCTAGCTCAGCCACTTACTAGCTAAGTGACCTTGGACCTGCTTCTTTACACCTATAAAACAAGGTGTTCGCTGTTATTAAATCCATTCCAACTCATGCAGTCCCATGTGTACAGAGAACTTCTCCATAGGCAAGGATGGGTTACCCAATAGCATCAACAAAACAGGGCCACCAGTTACACAAGGAAAAGTGAGCGCTACAGTACAAGGGAACTGACAAGGCACTAAATGTCTGCTGGAAACAAAATTCACAGAGTCATGAGGTACAAGGTTGTATCTGGGTACAAGGTTGTTTAAGAGATCACTACCACTTCAAACCTTTATTGACATCTGTCTTCTACTGTTCTCTTTTGTGTAATTGAAACAACTTTATCTCAGTGGGTCTCTTGTGAAGGTACTATTTCTTGCTAATAAACAAGGGATATGGGTGTGCTGTTGAGTCTAACTCTTGCTACATTTACCCAATATGGAAATGTATGTTACATGAGTGGTTACTGGGCAAGGACAGATTATATCAATAGATAGCAAGTCTCTGAACCATTTTGAGAGAAGGTCTTGTACATCCACATCTGTTGATTCAGAAACTCCAGCCAGGAGGGCCAGAAATGCCCTTTGGCATCATACAAGAGTATGCTCTTGCGCACATTCTGGTACACAACCAATGGGCATTCCAGTAACAGATTAAGCGCATGCAGTCTAGCAAATTACTTCATATGGCTCTTCTACCCATATTCCTGTGGTGGTGGTTGTGTGCTGTGGAGTCAGTTCCAACTCATAGCCCTGAATAGGGTTGCTGAGACTGTAAATCTTTACAGGAGCAGAAAGCCTCCTCTTTCTCCCGCAGAAAGGCTGGTAGTTTCGAGCTGCTAACCTTGAGGTTATCAGCCCAAGTTGTAAACTAAGAGCCCCTTTCATAGTCCTGTAACTCTCACCAAAACAGAAGGTCGAAGAAGATATGATACACTTGTAAGTGATTGTTGTTAATAGGACTGTTAACTTGGAAATCAAATGAAGGTAATGGTCAATGGTACCATCCTGCTAGATTTAAAATCAGTCATCAAATAAGCAGGAAGGGTGGGGATATCATTGCCACAAGCAGGAGGGGAGCGTGTCCTTTGTACACAGACATCCCTGTGCACCGACCATCCTCAGCCCAGGGACAAAAAGCTATGATACCAGAGAAGCGGCAAAGGTGCAGCAGCAGAACCAAGAACCAGAGAACAAGACAGAGTAATGTGTTTCCCACACACAGAACAAGTACAGCTGAGTGACTTTGAGCAAGAGACTTGACTGCACAATGAGGTGCCCTCCAGGCACATAACTGGATGAGCTATGTTTGCTGACCCACTGGTGTGGCACTGCGGTTTAATGGGCTAGACTGCAAAGTCGTTTAAACCACAAGGTCAGCAGACCAAGCTCACCAGCTGCTCCTCAGAAACCCTATAAAGGTCGCTATGGGTCAGAACCAACTCAACAGCACTTAACAACAATAATATTTATCAAGAGCCTTAACAGTTTCTGACATTTATAATAAGCACTATGTGGGTTAATTCATCAGACTGCAAAGCCGTTTGAACTCCAAGGTTGGTGGTTCAAGCTCACCAGCTCCTACTCGGAAACCCTATACAGGGTCGCTATGGGTAGGAATCGACTCGATGGCACTTAACAACAACAACATGCTACCACTTAATATTAACTTTAATATAAATGTTATTGTTGTTGTTGAGTGCCTTAGAGTCGGTCCCAACTCATAGCAACCTTGTATACAGTTTCTGACGAGCAGCTGATGACTTGACAGCACTTAACAACACCAACAACAGGTATTTAAATTTCACAGCCTTGAAAACCATATGGGCCGAGTCAAGGCATGTGAGGGCCTTAGACATTGATAAATTGTGTTGCATCTTCATCTGCTTACTCATGAATTTGAATAGGATATATGAGTTAAATATATACGTGTGTCTGTGTGAGCTATCAATGATGTACCTTCTTTTTAAATGTGACTGTAATATTAGTTCAAGGTCATATTTTGACTCTCATGGTCTTTATTTTATTCAGCTTCAGGCTGAACTTGCATATGAGCAATTGATATTCCATTCCATAGTTAGCCCCAGGCTAACTAACATGGGTGATAACTTTTAATAAAATTCTGATAGCAAATGTACAAAAAATGCTAGAGTACTAATCTTTATCCACCATAAGAAATATTCAGTTATGTGTCAACTGAGCATGTTAGGAACCCTGGTGTGGTGCTGTGGGTTAATGTGCTGGACTGCAAGGCAGGTTTGAACTGCAAGGTTGGTGGTTCAAACTTACCACCACTTCTTAACAACAAAAATAACAACCCATGTTAGTATTATATTAAATGTATGCTAGGTTGTGTATATGCCAAAACATTTTTAAATAAAAGCTACAGATATTATTAAACACAACTTTTAGGATATACTCTGTATATACGTGCTACACAGTTAAAAAGTAACTTGATTGAATTCATCGCAGTGGTTGACTTACTCGAGTTTCCTCATTTTCATGTTGCCAAAAATGTGGCACCAAACCATCCCTCTCTACAGCAGCACTCTCTACTTTTCATCTGTGTTTGATAATCCCTTGCAGTGACCACACAGAACTGAGACACCATACTTACAGTTAGGGGGGTTATTAGGGAAGCTAGCAGGTTACAGTGCGGGGCTCTGATAATGCTCGGGGCACAGTTCTTCTAATCAGCTTTTCCTCAACCGTGCCCACAGGCAGGCCTCTGTCTGCCCAGGCAATATTACAAAGCCCTTTCATCATTGTTGTTATGTGCCATCTAGTCAATTCTGACTCATAGCGACACTGTATAGGGTTCTGAGGAGCAGCTGGTGGATTTGAACTGCCGACCCTGTGGTCGCAGAGCAGTGCGGATCCTACAGTGCCACACTACGAGTCCTTAAAGGCCTTTTAGAGCTGCTGCTACATGTCCACAGGACACAGCACTCCACCATAAGCCTCAATTTCTAAGATATTTCAAAAGTGAAGCAAAACCTCTGGCCTGAGAGTACTAACATTAATTGTTTCCACTGACTATGCAATAAGAATAATTGTCGTTGTTTTGAAAATATTGCAAGAATGCATAAGAATTAGTTCCAAATATATGAATTCATTTGAAGAGAGATGTATAAATGCAAGTTTATGTACTTAACAAAAATTTATTAACCAATCTCACTAGCATTCATTCATTAAATCTAGCACAGAACAACTCCCAATTTTTGATAAAATGTCTCCTTGAAATGAAATGAAACTTTATGTTCCTGGTTCATCTAGTTACCAAAAGCAGACACTTCCTACATCACTAGATTTGTCTATGATATCCAATTTCCTCAAAACAGAATGCTAATTTGGTCACGCATTATGTTTCTCCCTTTTCTTTTGGATATACCTTCTTTTAAGTCTCACTGGTTTACTAAAATGTGGTTTTGCAAAAGCTGCCAGGCGTTTAAGAAATTCCTTTAAGAAGCTGTTTTCTTAAAAACAGGAAGTCACAGTGGATCAAGAGTAAGCAAACCCAAACCTCCACAGTGTACAAGTTCAGCATTTAACATTGAGAGTAACAGACTCAAAAAGCCCTGAGAACGCCACAACACAATATTTAAATTGCTGTGAGAGAAAGGTCAGCTTTTCTCATTAGTCAAGTCATGGTAAGAATTCAAAACATTCTGTAAACTTTCACCCAAACAACAATAAAAAGGTTTTTTTTTAAAAAAAAAAAAAAAAGGAGAGATTTCAAAACATATCAAAAAAAAAGTTATTACCTTATTTAGAGCACATAAGAATTATATAATAAGTGACATCAACATTTTACTCAT